ATGATGATAAAGGATGACATTTGGATCCCTTCATACATCTGAAGTTTTGAGTCAAAAATAGTTGCATCAAATGATGGTGGTAGACTGCACAGCCCCTCAAGTTACATGTTAAGACCAACATCAACTACAAAGTGATGAGAGAGAAGGAGACTAATCCCACGGCAAAGCTTCTAGCATTCAGTCTTCACATTATCAGTGTGCATAATGCCTGATGAAGCCTAGTCACCCATTAACAGCTACCATCACTTAAAAACAGAGAAGTGTGTTTCACAGCACTGTTACAGGAAAAAACACACAGATGGAAAGAATCCAGCTCCAGGGTCCTGACAGCTACATCTTCTGCCTCGATGTCATGCAGAATTATAACTGTGCTATAGCACCAAGTTCTGCTGATGTGCATCCTGCAACTTCCAGCAGCCACACTCACACCCCAGGAAGAATGCTACTATTTCTAATAGGCACAGTATCAGCCATCACCTTTGCAATGACTGATGATGGATTTTGAGACCAATGAGACTACACAGTTAACCAATACCAGAAGAATTACTTGTTTTCAAATAGGGTTAGAGCCAGAGAATGTTTCCCCAGTGCTAATAAGCAGGTCTGATTCACCAAACAAGATCCCTCTGCAACTGCCTCTGCTACAACTTCAGCAGTCAGAGATGCCACAGTCAGGGAGAAAGAAGGGAGACCAGACAACGGTTCCTGCATCTGATGAGCAGCTCAAGTGTGACAAGATTGGACTAAGTTGCTCTCTTACTGGTTGTCAACTCCACACTCAGAAGAGCTCTCATCAACAAGTGGAGAACCAAGGACATAAATCCTGAGGTTTAAAATCCTGCTCCTGCTACAGGGCAAAATGTCCATGCATTACCCTCTGTGAGAGAAGACGTGAAACACGTTCATGGAAGGAATACAGCCCTTCCAGTCAGTGTATGAAAGAAGCCTCTAGCAAAGCCACCAAACCACAAAAACAAGAAGAAAGAAGATCTAGAAAGATTCTGGGCACAGAAGTATTCAAGTTCACAAGGTTTGCTAGCAGGAAACAAAATGGCAGAACTTTATCTGTTCTGCACCACAGTTACCAGAAGCAGAGGAGATCTCATGGGTTAAGGCATTACTCCACCACTGCTGTACTCTGTATGTGTACTGTATGCAAGGAAATCACTACATTGCCAGAAAGTCCGAATATTTCATGTGCAATGAGTCTTTCCAACTGACAATTTTCTTGGGTGTACAGGAAGAAGGAAAGAGTTAATTATACTGTGATTTGCTGTATTGTCCTGCAGCCACAATTAATTGAGAAAAGATACTGCTGGGGCAATTGGGGTAAGATTGCCTTTTTGGGAAGCAACACAATCTTAGATTAGACTAAGCTGGTCAATAAGCATCTTGGCAAGACATTATAATACTTTATTAATTATGATATGTCACCATAATTATTTGTCATTGGGGTAGAGGGGAGAAGGAGCTAAATAAGGAATGAATATGGCCACCAATTTTTTAGGCTCCTTTATTATAGAGGGAGCAGATGTCTTGGTGTTTCTCTTAGCCAAAACCTCGCTTAGCTGTACCCTCCCTGTGTTCTGCTCAATTCAGTCAATTTCACTGGTTTCTGATTTTCCATTCTACTTTAAAATCTATGTAACTGTACTAGCCTGCCACTGCAAATAATTATTTGCTTACTATACATATATAGACATTTCATTTTTGGCTATTTGAATTGCTAAGTTACTCAACTAGAATGAACAGGTTACCTTATTATCAGAATTCCAACAATGCCAGTCAGCATTTTTCACAGTATCAGTTATGGTGTTACTTGTCTAAGACGCAAAAAAAGTTACCCACATTTCCACAGCAACCTCTTTCAGCATTAAGAAAGTGAGAATGCTTTTCTCTTTTCTGATAATGAAGCTGCTCATATAAACTAGCAAAGTTTTTATTATTTGGCAATATCATTTTATTTTTGCAAAATGCAGGGAAAAAAAAAAACCAAACATGTTTCTTCATTTCTTAACATGTATATTCACTTACCTGAAACTGTGCTACTTGAGAAACAGCAACAGTGTATTTATATAGGCCGCTAATTAGTCAGCACTGATCATAATATGATTAGAAAGATAACGCTACAGAGTTGAATATTCCTTTCACTGACAAACTGAGGAAGATTCTCCATTTTTGCTGCTAAATACAAAACTGAGAGGCACTGAAGAATAAAATGGAAGAAAGATACAGGAGAAGCCCCACCTCACCTGACCTACACTAAACAAAAAGGACAAATAGATAGCATACATATAGCCATACATTTTCTGCAGCTTTCTATTAGTTATATTTTCTGCATCTGATAGGATCTTCTGTCAAGGCCATTGATCCAGAAACAATTACAGCACTCTGCAATGGCATCTTTCAGGAAACACATTTTTCAATTCTGTTAGACAAAATTAATCATTTTATTTCTATGCCATTCAGGTCAGAATCCAGAAGAACTTGAAACTGCCTAACTGTATCAAATCCAAATTCAAAAAAGGGACATTATTCTATTCTGCCTTCTGCCTTAGAAGATTAGATCTAAATAACTTGCCCACTGAAGAAGAAATTCCTTGTCATACAGTGTTAAATGGACAAGAACCAACAAATTATTACTGCATACAGTAATTCTTTTTCCAAAGAGATATTTTTCTTAAAGGGCAATATAAACTCATAGAAAAGCATAATTCAACTTTAAAGACTTGAATGGCCAATATTTTTTTTAAGCAACTTTATGTATGTTGATTCTCACTAATAAGAACTGTGAAACTCATCAAGTTCACTCTATAGGTGTTAATTTTTTTTTTTACTCTCCCCTTCCTATCCATTCCCAACTTACAATTCACATTTCTTTACCAAGGGATCTAACCTGAGGTATTTCACTACCTCTTACGTAATCAAAACCAAACAACTAGATGTATTCAATTATAAATCCTAAAGGAAATTGAAGATGAAACTACTGAATTATTCACTGTTGTTTGCAAACTCTCAAATCAGGGTTGTTCAGGAAGATGACCAATCTAAAGAAAAACAATAAGCAGCGTAGTGTCTACCCTGGGTAAGTTTCTAGAAACTGCAACAAAACTTTATTAAAGAACAGAGTTAGTAGACATATGGAGGATTCTAATATACACTAGATAAGAGAAATCAACATGCTTTTCATTAAAGACAATCATATCCAACAAATCTCAAAAAAATGGTTACAAGCATGTGGCTAATGGAAACACCAATTAAGCTGTCTACACAATTTTCAAAGTCAACAACATCTCTCACAGGTTAGTTTCTTTACAGAGATCCTTGAACAAATGACTAATTGGTTAAGGTATCAGGAAGTAAAGCAAACTAGAATAATGACAGGCTGACAGTAATCGATTAGCTCATGGATGAAGGTAGTTAGTAGAAACCCTCAGGGTCCTGAGCTGCTAGGTTTATTCATAAATAATTCTGAAAATTAGAACAAGCATATTAAGGTGATAAGTCTGATGACAGTACCAAAGCACATTCAAGGTAGAAATCAGGATTCCAGTGAAGAACAGCAGAAAGACTTAAAAATTTTTCTTGTCCAACTATGTAAATGTGAATCAATACATAAACACAATGGACTTGGAGCTGACAATTAACACTGAAAACTGAGACTAGTTTTATATTATGTTGTTCCAAGGAAGTACCTGTTTAATGCTTGCAGCACCAAAAGGCTAATCTAGTATCAAGATGAAGAGAGAAAGAAAACAAAACCAAACATAATTATTCCTTAGCATAAATTCAGTGTGCCCACATCTTGAACATTCTATGTTGTGTTTCTCTTTTCTAACATAAAGATAAAAGAAAAAAAGTTAGAAGAGCAAGGAGAATAAGAGGTATAGAAAGAACTTGATTAAGATTAGAAACAGATGGAGATACATGTAAGTTTATGAAACATAGCGTCAGAGGGAATTAGGTGCATGCAATGAAACGAAGGTAGAAAATTGCTCTTCACATACCATGCTTTGAGCCTTATACAGACATTTCTGAGCAGACAAAGAAACCTCATTCAGCTCTGATGTTCTAATACAGCTCTTAAGATCTAAGGCTTAGACTACTTCAGAGACTCCCCCTTCAAAGAAACTCTCTATTGGTAGAACTAACACACACAAGCATGAGTACTGAGCCAGAAACACCACAAAAAAAAAAAAAAAAAACAAAAACACGAAACCAAAACAACAAAATCCTGCCTTGTGAGAAGTTCAGCACAGAGCTAAGGAAAATACACCCGCTGTGATACAAGAAACAGGCCTAGTTGGTACTGAACAATGCTACAGACATTTTTACAATCAATGAAATGTAATCAAGACTAATTTTATGTTATTTCAAATAAAATACATCAAACTTGTGTATTATGTTGAATAATTTTTCTTGATCTCAGTCTTTCAAAAAGCCTACATTCTGTCAAGAAGCGAGTTTTAAGGAAATAACATGTCATTCAATGTCACTATTTTTTTTTAAACCTTTCCCAGTTTTATTTCAAACCTTGATCTCATCCTACAAAGAGAAGGTGTTTATAGAAATGTCCTAGTAAGACTATTTAGTAGTTTCTTTTCCTCCCCCCCCTCACTTTTCAGAGTATGCGAGAGATTCCAAATTACAGAAATTGTTAAACCATCTTTTTTCAACTTTAGACTGAAGCTCTTACCACAGGTGAAGGTCATACTACTCAATAAAAAAGATCTGAAAGCTTCTCCTCCCAGACCCTGAAATTAGTAAAGACAGTCAATCCCTGCCATCATTCATTGCTTCATGAACTTAAACGCAGTGCATTTATTCGGTCTGAAGTTTCTATTATTCAAATTCTATGGCTCTCAGAGAAAACTTCAAGTACCTGCAATTTCAGAGAGACCTATTTATTGATCTACTGGTGAGAGAAGGAAGAAAAAAAATGAAAAAGTAATAAAAAAATCGGTGTTAGAATAGTAAATAACATTTTTCATCTGCATTACCTCATCATGTGTGTATCTGTAATCTGCCTTCTTTGACTTCAGATCCCATAATACCACTATTCCAGACTCAAAGCCAATCAGAAGCTGCAATAATAAGGAGATATATTAAGTCTTTATAAGTATAAGCAAAATAATAGCACTCGCAATGCCTGTAGTTCTTGCCCCAAAGAGATGCAGCATAACACATGTAGTAACTGCAAGTAGCCATGAACACAAAAATTAGCAAGAAGTGAAGACCTCGATGTTAGAGAATTTTACTTTGTATCTGTAATCTTCTTAAACTTCCAGTTAATACAACTGACATTCATGTAAAAAAAAAAAAAAAAAAAAAAAAGTGCATGCTTCTGAAGAGTCCTTGAAAATCCCTTTGAGTTCCAGTAAGGTCAACATTAAACTTGAAGTGTATTCCTTCCTGAGTGAAATGGTAGGGTGGGAAAAGAGAACTTATTGGGCATTATCCTCACTGGAATTTGTTCTGCTTAGATTTGCTGTAAGAACATACTATCCTTCCTGAAGTTTGAGGTAACCACTCATAGTCTATAAAGAAACTAGGTAATACAAGCTTTCTCCAGGTGTCAATCACAATTGAGACAACTGGCTAAAGGAACACCAAGAACCTTAGCTGTTCAGAAGAGGAAAGCTAGAAAGAAATCAAACAAGATAATTTCTCAAATAATCTTTTTTTGCTAGAAGCAATATTAAACCATTTCTGCAGAGAGCAACAATTCAAATTGCTCAAAAATTGGTCTAACATTTTTCAGTACTTAAGTGTTTTGCTCTCCTTATCTCTATCTTAAGTGACACTTCTTTTAATGAAAAGAAAACAAGGCCAACATAAAACAGTAGTAACAGTCTTGGCACTTGTTATATAGATGACAATGCAGCTTCATCTTTCATAGTTGTTGGATCTACTGTGAGATCCCTCCTTTGAGCAATGTTGCTACAGAAGAAGTAGCTCCTAGCATTAAGTAGCACACCTCACTATCACTTTTTTTTTCCCCACAACGAATGTACAAAAAAGTAGCCGTTGTCTGCTGGGATTCACTTGCTGTTGAAACAGCCTACTTCCTATGAGCAAACAGAAGTGCCCTCAGGGCTGTCCTTTGTATTACAAGTTAGAAAACACTAACTTCACACATGTGCCATTGTAGCCAAGGAGAGAGATCTAAATCAATATGGTCTATTGCCATACCTAGAGATTTTGCTTGGACAGCCTTTTCGGCATGCTAAGATTTTCAAGGTGTGCAGTTATTTCCAGTACAAAAAATAACAGATCTCCTACCTGTGTATAGATCAAATATGTGATCTATTTCAGTGCTATACAGCAAAAAAATACCCTAAAAGTATTAGACACATCTGATATAGTAAAAGTGAATATTAGGGGGTTTTCTCACTAGTGTCGTGCATACTGTTATTTTAAATGATCTTGCTTATCATAAGCCATATTGTATAGTTTTTCTATTTTAACTTTAAACATTAGAATAATCACAGTGATTAGAAGGTTAACAGCATAAACAATTTTTTTAAAAGTGAGTACACTGGAGGTTCTTGTAACTGCACTTTTTTTTTTCCAGCAGTATTTTTCTTATGAGAAAGAAAAGGAGCGTAAGGTCAGATTCTGAAACACTGATTAATAGCCTGATTGATAAAGAGAGTAGTTCTTAAACTTTATTTGACAATAATTAAATGTGGGGTGGAATACGCTAGCATAAATAGATCATTTGTCTTTTCTGAAGCTATCACAGCTTCATTGCATGCATATTCTAGGGTCCATGATTCTGGAACGTGATTCAAACGTAATTATACATAGAAACTCATTAGTTATTGATTTTCTACAGTAAGCTTCATCCCAATTAAAAAAATATCTACTCATGAAATTCTCCTTGATGGACTGAAACCTCAGGTGTCTAGGATACAAGCTTAAAATTCACATGTTATTAAAACATTCAAACCACTGTTAAGACAATAGTATCATCCTACCTCTCTTCAGTTTTATCCACCACTAATATGTCAAATGAAAAGCAAGTAAACAAAAAATAATATTTCTCCTGCATATGTGCAACAGTAGTAAGCAAAATTAGTTTCTCTCTCCTTGAAGATTCTTCACAAATGAAAGTTCAAAACTCTAGGATATTTCTGAGACTGACAAAAATAATAATTCAGAATTCTATCCATCAATCTATTCAATCACTATGCCTGATTAATCTAGAGTGAAGTCATTAAGGAAAATATGTTTAAAGTGGCATCAAGGTCTCTCTGGCTAAGTTATAACCATACTTTTGTCAGAGGTCTACACACTTTTGGAAAAGATAGATGCAAGACTGCCATTTTCAAAATATTCTTCTATATTTTGCTTTATTCCAGTTGGCAAAATTAAGTAAATCCCCTCCTGCTTGCTCTTCATTGGGGACCAAGGAATCTGAAGAAAAGTTGCAGTAGATCACTATGACTTGCTAAATAACTATTCGAGGCACACAAGCTAAAGAAGCTGAAGACCCTTCATAGAGAGGGTGAGCCATGTGATCCCATCCCAAGACTTGTAGGTCTGTTACCTGAAGCACAGACTTTGTCTTGCAAATGTCAGTTAAGTGATGAATGTATGATTTGGTACTACAGTAATTGCCGTGACCTAGAGAATGCATACTAACATTTGAACTCCTTGCTTTCTCTTAATTCATGAAGCCTTCACTGTGAATTAAAGTTATGGGTCCTCCATTGTTCTTGCATGAGCCTGATAAAAGATGTGTCAAAGCACAGGGTTTATTTTAACACTCAATTTACTTTAATAGCATAGGAGGAACTAATGACCACTGAGTTCACATACCATGTTCTTCTCTTTGGCTATGTCACAGAACAAAAATAATTGTCTTTCAAGGACTTCAAGAACATGTATGGTAAAACTTTTTGTCAAGATAAAAAGATTATTATGTTAATATCTCAAAAGAGGGAAAAGACAAGTCTAATACATTGCTCTTATTTATAAGGTTGGTTGAGTTAACTTTTCTGAAGTATCTGGTTGTACTAGAGGCCAGCTAGGTTTTAAGCAATTTACTATCATCACTAGATGCTGTTAGCTAAATGAGAATGTCAGACTTCAAATCCTGTAAGAACTTTTGCCTTGGATTAGCTAAACTAAAGATGAAGTACACAGTATTCTATATAAATAAACATTTTAAAGTTGTGAAACAGCAACACCCAAGAGCATTATAAAGTTTATTTAATTTCCATTCCATTATTTCTGCACCTAGGTTATGACTGGGTTTTTTTGGTAATATGTTAACTTTTACCACCATAAGTAAAGTTCTTCAATTTTATTCTCAAGAATTTTTGCAATTAAGCACTTTCAGCTGTGTTTTTAAATGTTTCGGATTACAAGATACATTCAATTATTCCAGTAACATGTCCCACAGTCATGTCTGTACCTCGTTTCATATTATTTTCAAAGCCTAAAAAATCTTCATTTAGCCTTCCTTTATGCTTTGAACATTGTCCTCAGCTACTTAATCCTTCCTTAAAAAACAGTGGTATCTATATTTAAAAAAAAATAAAAGGTCTTGCTGGAGAAATAATATACTGAATAGTCTTTAAACATATCCTACCTTTCCTTCATCCATTGGATTGTCACTAATGTGGACAACAGGTCCTGGGTGAGATTTGGACGACCTAAACAAGAAAAATTTCCATTTAATAAAAAAAAAAAAAGTTTCCCTGCCCAAAACTGCATCTCAAAATGATCACAAGTAATAAAGATTCTGCAGATATAGGATCCATGTAAGCAAGCTATTGACATTTCAGAATGGAGTCACTTTTATCTTGAAGCTCAAACATTTTCTGTCTGGTTTTAGGCACTAGGTTTCTGTCTTTTCATAAGAAGGAAAAACTGATTTACTGCTTATGCACAACACAGGAAAAAAACCTGCCATTAGCTTTACAGTATCTATCTTAATGTTTGTTGTTACAGACTTGACACAGTTGGATAAAATGTTTATTTTTATGCTGGAAGACAGGTCTTGCCATTATTAATAAACTGCCCAAGCTGTGTGCTGTTAAAAACAACACAGAGTTAAGACTTTATGTTGCCTTCTTGCTGTTGAAGAAGATGGCCTAATGAAGAACTATGTGTTTCAAAAGTCTTTGGCAAGTGACGGATTTCCTGTATGCTTTGTAGATAGATATAACATTCTGGGAACAAAACAACAGTATAGGATCAGCAGTACACAACTATATGTTTTCACAGACAAAACAGTACATTTGCATACACAAATTTATTATTAAAAAAAGGAGGAGCAACGACAACAGCTGTAAAATATACCTCACTCTTGGAACAGGCTTATGAATTTACCTTTTCAGCCAGTAATTTTATACTCAGCATGCATTAGCTCTCTTACAATATACATCTTTGTACTTTGGACTTTAACCTCAAAACAGTAGAAGTAACATGCCTGCTTAAGTACCAGCCTCATCATGTTGTAATGCATATTGTTTTTCTACTTCTTTATCATCACAGATAATAATTTTTATATCTATTTTTATGTCTATTCCAAACACTGTGATAAAATAGTTGGAGACAAAAACACATATATTAACATTAACACTTCACATTTATAAGAATAAAAAGTATTTACGTGACTATGTACTTTGATCATGTATTTGGTGTAGTGAGACTAATATAAAGGCTGCTCTAGGTAACAATGACATTCCTGCAACTGATGTTAATATCTGGGACACTTCTGTTCCCTCCCCTTCACATATAATACTTGATTAAACTCACAGTTCAATGGCTTTATTCCACATGATGACATAGCCTGAGAGAGTAAATGATTCCACATTGACAATGTGAATGTTTCCTCTTTCAGTGCCCACGTATAGCCATTTACTTTGGAAAGGCAGATGACAAAATGTTATCCTGAAAGACAAAGCCACCAAAAAGGGAATTAAAGAAAAGTCTTTTACATATCCTACTATTCAAGGTCTATGTTGGCAAAAGGTAGAAGGTAACAGGCAAACAGAAAGAAATAAGACAAGTTACAAATAAACAAAAGTAGCAAAACCAGTACATGACAAGAGATGCACAGACAATATAAAAACTTAAAAAATAGAAACTAAGGTATTCTAAAACTATTACTCATTCAGATAATAATCACACAGCCACCTTTGAAAATTATCCTACTGAATGTATTTGCTTAAGATAGCTGTAATTTGAAGCTTAAAACACAGTACTCATGTGTAACAACCTATAAATTTCCCTTTGAAATCTATCTAATTACAAGAACAAAAGAATTCTAGAAGTTACCTTATGCAGATTGAACTGATTTCAAGTGAGGAGACAAAGGCAGAAAAAGTATAACAAATGTAAATTTGCATGTAACCCAAAGTATTCCCTAAAAAGCAAACCTAAACAATTATAAAAGTAATTTTAAAATAAGTAGTTTAAATTTGGGGCTATTATTTTACTTAAACTATGTTTTAATTTTCTGCCTTAGTTTTCTCTTCTGCTAGAAGGAAGTACCTGAACAAAACTCAAAAATTAATGACTGTACAAGCAGAGAACTCTTCTTTGACCACAGCTCCAGCACAAATATTAGTATTTGAAAACTTGGTTATTTCTGTGCTCGAGTCCTGCTTATTATTTACTTATCAATTTTGATGAAATAGTAAACAATGTCTGTAGGAACTGAAGCTTCTAAAGCATCTAATTTTTCTATACAACAGAAATACTAACTTGAAATTAGAGTCTAGAAACTGTAAACTCTAAACCATTTTAATCTGACAGAGTCCAATATTGAAAGAAATTGCCAAACTACTTGGACTATCAAACTTGGGGTTTCAGAGATAAAGTAAAATAATTATTCAATGTAAATGTGCTCTGTCAGCTCTAATCCCTAGCTTAAAAGAATTTTTTTGTTCTTGTTTTCGCCCAGTTGGGTTCCTTTCTTGTTGAATACATGCACCACTTCACAAGCCTGTTAATTATTTATGCAAAGAACAGCTTTAGATCTTTGCATTAGATGCTCTATATACACATTTAACGTCCACAAATGCTAACAGCAGCAATGAAGAAAATTGTTATTGGCTGAAAAGACGTTAATTTGTATTACAGGTTTCAAAAGTTAAGTCTTCTGCAGTAATATTACCTGGATCAAAAGTGTGCCACTTCACTTTTCATATCACTAATTTCTTTTTAGTTAGGGAATGCAGTTTGCTCAAGCCAATCTTTAAATTTGTCTGTTTTCTAACTTCCTTGATTTCTTATGCTTGAATACTTAAGGCAAAAGGCTGTACTTTTTTCATCGATGTTTCACAAAAAAGGACCATATACAAGATTTAAAATGCTCTTCTAACTCACTGAACTTAGAGGTTGTAATAATTTTTGCTAAGCACAGTAATCTCCAAACACCACAGGTTAAAGACTTGAATTTCACCACTGTCCTTGAAAAAAAATATTTTATTGGAAGCTGTCACATACATCTGTAGATGTAATTTCTAGGCAGACCCCAAAACATTACTGTCAAATAACAGAGCTCTCCCACTACAAGCAGGTCATGGGGAAGGGGAAAGAGATGAAGCATGAAAATATAAACCCTCACCACTCATCAACACCATAGTTTCTTTTTGTACCAGGACTCCACATCCCAGAAGCAGCTAGAAGCCAGATTAGTTGGAACTAGAAACATGGCCTAGAAGCCAGATTAGTTGGAACTAGAAACATGGCCTAGAAGCCAGAAATAATATTCAGGAGTAGGGTCATGGGCCTATCTGTCTTGATCTGTGAGTTAATATTGTCAATTACTGTTAAACATTTTCATTACAAAAAACAACCTATTTCCTTTCACTTAAAGAGGGGCAAAAATATAAGTTGAGGCTGCAACTTTAAATACTGTGCTTTTGCTATTGCAAAGAAGTGTCCAACTCCCCAATATTCTTGATATTCTTCTTGAATATGCAGCCATATTCAATTTACTATGAAGGTGAGATTAATTTTGTCAAGAGTTAGCAAGCAATGAAATGATTCCATACTGAGAGTTGAACAAGTAACTTCACAAAATGTTTACAAACTCTCAAAAACAGGACGTTGAAGAGACTTCAAAATTGTTAAGTATAAGCATATATAAAATAGCGTTCTTAATATTATCTTTCAAAGTGTGCTTTTACCAGTCTTTTAAAATCAGAAAAAAAAAATCTTGTATGATTTCTATATAACCTAAAAAAAAATTCTTATAGATTTTATGTTTCACAGAACAACTGATGACTAGCTAAATCCAAAAGGAAATTGTCATGCTGATCCGACTATAATGAAAGAATTACCATTTCACCTTGAATGTGGTAAACGTTACTCTATCTACAAATAATTTTATTTGGTATTTCTTTATTTTCTGAGTAGAAAAAGTGAGTCGTCCAACTTTTAGACAAATATAATTGAATTTCTGAATTAATTACAGATAACTGCATTTATTTTAGCAATTTACAGAATAACATCTCCAATATTAAAGCCCATGTACTGAGCTTCCCTCTCTTCAATGATTAACGCTTCACCTTAAAATATGTAGATTTAAACACTGAAAATGTTACAGTCCTCTTAAATAAAATTCAGTGAAGCCATGACCATGTGAAGGACCACTGACAACATATTAGCATGTCAACATACAGGCTACATTTGGTGGCCTCACTTGCTCTGTTGAAAATTGAGGATTAAAGGGATTCAAATTTGTTTTGGAAGATGGAAACAAAAGGTTGATGTCTTCTCAGTGGTGAGGCAATAATTCCTTATTTAACACTTGACCAAGGACAGCATATTTTTTTTCTGAAAAATGCAGATTTTTCCTTCAGAAATGTATCTTTATACCACCACAAGATTAGAATAATATGCTCCATCCATAACATGGTTTAAGATCAACAGAAGTGGAAGTTGTCATATAGTGCTCTGGCCATTTCTATCACTCAAGCATTCTTCCCCCCCTCTTTCTACTTACAAATGAATATGTACATAAATGTGGAAAATAAATTTTTGGGAACAGTTCGAAAAGACCACAGGTATACTCAAGTAAAAATTTTTTTCAAGTCTTTCTTGCACACAAACCCCAATTGCTTGCAAACAATGTATCAGTCAAAAGCAGAGGATCAAACTCTTCTCCTGTATCAAGACATTCTGGCCAAAAGTACTGGAACAGAAGCATATATAAAAAGTAGACCAGTTTTGTGCATCTAAATAGGCAGACTGGGACTGTCTGAGCCAGTGATCACAAAGTAGTATTTGCAGGCAGCTCTTTCATGGCACAACAGATTCCTCATGTTATCTTCAAGGAAATTTCAGCTACCTCAGTAAGTATAGTACATTTTGTGAAGCGGATTGAACTTTTAGAATGATGCAAGTATTGTGTACAGCACTTTATTCCAAATATTTCACTTCCCCATACCTGTACAAAGAAAATAATCCCTTTACAGAAAAAAACAGTGCTTTAAAGAGATTATTTTTTTTAAATTTCAAATCTACGTAATGATTTCAATATATGCTAACATCACTGCTAAAAATGAGGTACTGTTATTCAACCCCAAAACAGTCAAGGTAGTTCTAAACTCTTCTGTAGCTGTACTTTTCCATAAGCACAAAATCTTCCTCCTCACTGTATATATATTTTCAAAGCCACTGCTTCTGTCACTCCCAAAGTAAGCCATAAGAAGTTTCTTTCATGTGAAATGAATTTGTAAGACCTGAACCAGTAGTTCATGAAAACAAAATCATATACAGAAAACCCAGTCATACACTAACAATGGAAAATATGGATAAAAGAAAAGCCTTAACAAATTATTTATTGTTCTTATTGTACTCAAAATATAATTTGTGCTATTGCTTACAGGTGAGTATTAGCAGTGACAGGAGAGTCCTTAAACAGCCATTTGTAAACCTACTGAAAAGATTTCCTCTCGCAACTTCAGACCATGTGTTTTTTCTAATAAACTGTCAAAGTTAGTTAAGAAAAATTTAGTTGTGGTTGTTTCACAAGGTGTATCAAAATAGTTATTATAGCAAGTGATAGTATTCCCTAGAGGAATTTAATTACAGAAATATCAAAGAACACAATTTTTAAAATTAATATGTAAGTTGAATTAGGGTTTTAAGGGAAATAAGTAAAAATGACAAGTAGTTATCTTGAGTGTATTATTATGACAACAGATATCCTTCTAAATTAATCTTTCCCTTTCCCTCGTCTACTGCATTACAAAGTATTATATGTTCTTCAGAATTTTCCACTACTTTAACAAAGTACAGTGACAAATACTGTGATGAATGACAAACACTGATAACAGGTTTTATTTTTAAGCCACTAAAACAATTTCTAGAACCTCAAGCTATCATTATAGGTCTGCAGTTACTGTAATTACACTAGCTGCTCAGATCATTATTGTACATGCAAAATAAAAAATTTCTAAAAAGAAAAGTGTTAAGCTACCGAAGTTGTATTCTGCACACCTCTATCTTCAGCCTTTCATGCCTGAGATAGTCACCATGTAAAATTCAGAACCTGAAAAGTTAAATTTTTATGTTAACTTAGACTCCATGTCCATGGTGTCCTGTCAAGTCTTCAATGAGCATAAAGTCAAGAGCCAGTGTCAGAATGACATACTGATGGAAGTAAGCAGTGGTTGTGATTTCACTAGACTGCTGCAAGGGGTCTATTTTCAGATCTGCTAACTGCAATAAGCTTAAAATAGCTACCAGTATGAAAAAGGCCTGATGGGGCAGATGGTACATGCAAAGGAACAGTTCTTCTACAATGCATCCCCAAATTGTCCTCCCAAAAGACCATGTGGATAAGTGCAATATATCATAGAAATTGGACCAGGTACTTCAATTCCATTTATATCCCATAACAGCACTCCAAATACATTCATTTGAAGGGCTGCCTC